CCCATGGCGGCAATGGGCCACTGGGCACCAATTGGCCTTTGGGTTCCATCCTTTTGGTCTGGTGTTGCATCTGCCGCTTCTACTTTGCCATGTGCTTTAGGTTTGCCTTGACTTCTGTCTGCAGCTTCGCCTGGCCTCCCGGGTACTGCATGTGTCCTACCACTTCCAAGTTACTTTTTGTTTTGAGACAGGGTCTTGCTAAATTGTTCAGTGGATATGTGAACATAAAATTTTATCCTCTTGCTTCAGCCTCACAGAATACCGCAATTACATTTGTGAACCTGACCCAGCTTCGTTTCTTCTCTTGATTTTCTTTTAAAAAATATTTTAGTTTTTTTTTTGCTGTAGTGAGTTAAACCCAAGATCTCTGCACTGGGTGACACTCACACTCAGCTCCTCTTCTGAACTGTTCCTGGAATTTTTTCATTTCTTTGCAGCTTCTCTGCAGAGGACCAGTGGATGTGGGGACCTAAAATAGGGGGCTGCAATGAGGGGGATAAGTGGCCCCTGATTACAGGGCAGGAGGGTGCTTGAAGCAGTTTGACCCAGTGCTGTCAGGAGGAGGTGACCCAGACAGGAAGGGCATCAGGGACATAGGCACAGCCTGGGGAGCGAGGACCCATTCAATCCTGCACGCCCAGGCGGAGCTCCTATGGAAGGACACTTGGGGCTGCAGTGACTCAGTGCAGGACAGTGGCCACTTGAGGGGCTCTGGGCCCAGAGGGAAGTATCTAGTCCTGTATCTTGTGACTTTTGTCATTCCTGCTCCTTATGTCACTACCGAGCACCCCCCCCATGCGAGGCGATTCTGAGAATCATGGGTGGGACTCACAGGGTAAGAGCACCTGCAGACCTAGGTGTGGGCCACTTTCCTGTCCCCAGAAGTGCACAGTTCCCTCTCCACAGCTCACCTGGCCACCAAGCATGGTGACCCAGGCCCAAGGTTTCGCAGCTGTTCTGAGCACGATTGGCCTCTGTTCCTTGGCCATCTTCCTGCCCCTCACCCCGTCCCTGCTGGCCCAAGCCAACCGAGTGCTTCTGACAGTGGACAGGAGCTCCCGGTGAAAGCCTACAGATCTCACAGCTATTCCAGTGTTGTACCTGTCCCCTCCCTGGAGAGGAAGCTCAGGCATCTGCTCTCTCCATCTGAAGGTGACACATGGGGACAACGAATGGAGGAGACCCTGACTCCCTATCTCAGTTATATGAATGGGGAATGTCAGAAATGAGCAGTAGGGACCCAGGCCCCTTGGAACACACAGGAGACCCCAGGCAGGAGCCGGAGTCCCACAGCTTGAGACCAGAGACAGTTACTCTTCCAGCACCTGGGCTGATCCCTCCCCGGGCCTGGACTCCCGAGAACAAAGCAGAAGTGGCCTTTCCCCGAAAGCCCAGCCTGTTCTGTCCCACAAACCCCATTTGATGGTGCCCAGCAGAGGCCCACGAAGGGCTGAGTGCAAGGTGCTGTGAGTACCTGAGTGGCAGGAAGGAGCAAGACCTAATGTCAGACTAATGGGGTGCCAGCAGCTGCAAATAAGCAGCTGCTAGAGATGGGAGGACAGGATGACATGTCAGGTACTGAGGCCATGGAGGCAAGGCTCCTTGCTTAGTGTCATGGGATCCAGAGCCTCCACGCCCAGTGTACAGCAGGTGCCCTCTACAGACACCGTGCTGAGCTGTGATCGATAGGTCCCTGGTCCTGAGGTCACCCTGGGTGCTCTCATCTGCATGGGCATCCAGGCTGTGGAGCAAAGGACAGGAGCGCCCCTGCCTAGGGAAAAGGAACACAGATGCGGAGGCCTGCAGCATGAGTTCATTCATTTATTTATTTATTTTTGGCGGAACCAGGGATTGAACTCACTCAGGCCCTTGTGCTTGCCAGGGAAGCGCTTATTCTATTGAGCCATCTCCCCGGCCCAGCGTGAGTTTATTTAGCATCCAAGAGAGCTCCAGAAGCAGGATGGCTTTTGGGGCATTTAGATAGGCAGCACTGCAGTGTAAAAAGGGTTGGGCAGCTCTCTTTTTGGCATTTTGTCCCATGAGGCAGCCATAGGGCATCTTGGACAGTCGTGACCGGAAGGACGGGGACAGAGAGATAGGAGCCACCTGTGAGGGGACAGCACAAAGATGGCTCGGTTTCAGGATGGGAGAAGTGGAAGAACGTGAGGCCTGAGACCTCCTAGGCCTTCATTCCCAGCCTCCACCAGCCCTGCCCAGCCTACTCACTATCTGTTCAGAAGTCATCGATGCACTTGTCTGTGGGGGAGAAAGAACATCAGTACACGGCCCTTTCCTAGGCCAGGCCACTTGAATGCGAGCACTTCTGCCACATCCGAAAAGGGCAAACCCCAGGGGACAGGAGAGAGGCCCCAGTGAGCTGAGCCAAAGCATGGAGAGGACATGGTCCACTGAGGGCAGGGAGACTGGGGAAACTTGGACCCACAGCTGAGACTGTCACCTGTGCCGGCCTTGGCTAACAGGCAGCGGGAGCACACATGGGGACTGCGTTCCTAGGGATCCCCATACTCCACTGAGGCGGCCCCCACCTCTCCAGTGGCAGGAGGAGAAGACTCAGAGTTGGTTGTTGGCTTGGAGAGCAGCATCAGGCCTGCACAGACCCCACTCCCAGTCAGCTCTCCCCAGTGTGCATTACCAGTAGGGACGTGGACAATAACGTTGTCTTCAGTGAGCTCAAGGTACTTGGCAAAGTGGATAAAGCTCTCCTTTAGTTGGGGTGTTAGATTCTTGGTTCTCCCTGTAGCGGAGATGGCCATAAAAAGGGTGGAGAAGAGAAAGTCACTCCATGTTTTCAAATTATCATAGACAGGGTCAGAATCACAATCCTCCTGCCTCAGCCTCCCAGCCTCCCATTACTGAAATGACAAAGGCCAACATAACTGGCTGACAGCAAAAGTACTTGTTTTTTTTTTGTGGAACTGGTGATTGAACTCAGGCCCTTGCACTTGCCAGGGAAGCCCTTATTTCACTGAGCCATCTCCCCGGCCCAGCAAAAGGACTTTTGAATGTGTGAAGTTCTCAGAGACCTCTCCCATGGGAAGTGAAATGTGAAATGACTTCCTCCCCAAATTGGGCTCAGACTGGAGAAGACTTTGGGTCTTACGAATAGGGGCATCATCCCCCAGTGTAACCAGGAACCCGTTCCATGAGGAGTGAATGGAGTCAGGACCCACCATAGAGCGTGAGGTGGATGTATACTCTGTCTTGGTACTCATGCCCGAAGAACACCACAGCAAAGTTATCGTAGTCGGTTGCTAACACTTTCAAGCTGTACGTTAGTAGTCCACGAAAACCTGAGGGAGGACAGCCTGTGGTTACTCCTGTCCTGCCTGGGAGAAAGGCACTGACCCTTTCCCCCTGTCTGTTCAACAGAGGCTTCTGTCCACAGGACAGCATCTGTGAAGAGGGCAGGGAGGCCGGTGCCTTGCCGGAGGACTATGACTCCAGAACTCTCATACCAGGACCCCATTGTTAGGACTCACTCTTTGGGTATTTTAGGGCAAAATCTCTTGGATCGGGAGTTGGAGAGAAGATTCTGACCCAGTGATCACACTCCAGGTTGGGATGCATGTCTATGAGTGGGTGGGAAGATATGATTTTTACAGGTGGCCTGTGAGAAAAAGAGACAGAGGTGGCTGATCAGGGAGGTGACACACACTTGGTCCTGCCAAGAGGCTCTGTAAAGGACTAGAACACAGCAGGGTCCTGAGGCCTCGGTCTAGCCCAGCCCAAGACGGCTTGTCCCTCTCTAGGGCAGAAGCCCCTAGCAGACATCTCCACGGCCCTAGGCCTTCTACCCTGTGCCTCTGCCTGCTCCTCTGCACTCAGCCCTCCCTCCAGCGCTCACTGTGTCCTGTGCTGCTCCCCATGCAGCCTGTCCCACACACAGGCCCTGGGTTCTGGGCCCTGCTGTTATCCTGCTGCTCCTCTCTTCCAAGGTTCCTTGCAATTTCTTGTCAGCTTCAGGTCTGCCCCATGCCAGGCTGTGCCCTAGCACGAGGGCCACACCTGACCTCTTTCCTGACTCCACACAGCCCCTGTAAACCAGCAACAAACCCACCAGGCCTGCTTTCTTGGTCCCCTTGACCTTCTAAAGTTCCAACTCGAAAACACCCAATGGTTAGAGCCAGAACTCCATGCAGGCGGGTGAGCCTGGGCTCAAACCCTGGATCTCTACTCCTGATCCTCTGCCTTCTCACAGCTGGCAGTACCTTTACAGCTGTGCACATGTCCCCTGCAGCAGCTGGGCACAGAGGTGGCCCCTGCAGGAGCCCCAGGCCAGCACGGTGGGAGGTGTCCACATGCTGGCCTGGGAGCGCCCCCCTACCAGGTGCTCATCAGCCTCTGCTCAGGCGGCCATGCTGGAGGCTGGAACCTCCTGGTTCCTGAGCTGAGGCCCTGCCGACAGCCCTGTGACGTCATCTCCTGGGTGCTGCTGGTGGTGATGGAGCCCTGGCCAAGGCAGTGACCTGCATCCCATCTTGTTTTTATTTCTTGTTTTAGACAATCTCTGCTTGGTGCCCCGGCTAGCTTCACTTCTGCTGTCCTGCAGCCTGAGGCTCTGGAAAGGCTGGGATGACAGTCAGGACTACAGTGTTAAGGTCACATCTCTGCCAGGCCTACTTTGTGGAGTGGGTGGCATGCCAGGCGGGATCCAGTGTCCCCTTCCCTTTCTGAAACTCTTATTTGTATCTTGCTTTCTTCTGACTACAGCTGTGCTAAAGCCACCCATGAATACTCAAGGAAGGAAGGGAGGAAAGGGAGGAAGGAGGGAGAGACAGGGGAGTTGGAGTCCACGCAGATCTGGGAGATAAAGGACAGCGGCCGTTGGCCTTGAGCCTGGGCTGACTCTGTCCTGCTTCTCAGACCTGAAAGAGAGCAAATTCACCTGAACATGATGGTGGTGACTTGGTAGCCTTGGTTTTCCGTCTTGTTGAAGATTACACTGTGCATGCTTAGCTTCTTTTTTGTTCCATTTTGAATTAGCTCATCTGCCATGGCTAGAGCGTACCACTTGCCCTGGAACTGCAAGTGACTAATGATAGACAAAGCCCAGGCATATTGCCCACCACCCCCACGCCTCTATGCTGTCTCTCCTGGGACTTCTGGGCAGACAACTTGGTCACAGACTGGGTGTTGGGTTCGCCTGAGACACCACTAGGCAGTAGGATCCTGCAGGGCAAGGGAGAACCTGGTGAGGACTCAGCCCTGAGGTGTAGGGGGTTAGGTAGCCCTGGACAAATGGCTGCTGTGTGTCACAAAGCCTCAATTTTCATGTCTGTGGTGAAAGATATTCTCCACCTGACATGACCTGGTGCCTGGAGTCCCCATTTTGCTCTTCTCATATTACCTTGAAACTGACTCCCCCTGCCTCTCTTCCCTTCCCCTGCCACTGACCCTGTCCTCAAACTCTCATGGCCCCGGCCCTTCCACAGCCTTTACCTTGTCAAGGTCGAGTTTTAAGATGAGGTCAATCTTCCTCAGAGGTGAGGGTTTCATCGTAGTCAGATTGAAACCCTCTTCTTGTGTCTTCACAGTTCCTAGCAGGGGAATGAACAGAAACAGGAGACCCAGGGCCATGGCTTCAGAGCAGGGCTGAGCTGGCAGGGGCTGTAGGAGGAAAGAGAAGGCTGAGATCTGACTGAAGATGAGGTAATTATAGGGCAGTTGACTGTTGCCACCACTGACAAACACATGACAAGGTATCATGCTCTTAACCCTCCGGTCACAATTGTGCAAGGTGGAGAGACGGGAAGAGGGTAGAAGACATGGGGGACATTCCCAGGGGCAGCAGGGTCCTTCAGGCCAAGGTCTCCGTGTGGGTGCTCACTGTGCCTGTTCTGTGCATTCAGTTGGCTCTGTCACTCGAAGCCCAGGTCCTGACAAGATCTCATCTCTGACTCTGTCCCCCATGTGGGTTGTGTGGCAAAGCCCTTTCCCATACCTGCAGACAGTAAAGAATGTGCTGGGCATGGTGGAACGTGCCTGCAGTCCAGCACTCCGGAGGTTGGCAGGAGGGTTACCAAAACTGCATGCCAGCCTGGGATACACAAAGAGCTCAAGGGTAGCCTGAGTACTTAGGACGTCCCTATCTCAGAAGAGAAGGAAAGAAACAAAGAAAGACTGTTCTCCCCCATCTCCTGTGCACCATGCTTATTCTTAGAATGGTCAGGGAAGGTTGGGGTGGCTGGCCTGGGCATGTTGGACTGGGAAGGATGGGACACTGTTTTGTACCTGCTGAGACCAGGTCCTCGTCCTCAGGGAGTTGCAAGCCCGGCCTTGAACAGGATGCCATGCCTCAGTCCCTCTCCCCCTCCTCATCTCCAAGGCATTTGCAGGAGCAGACAGGTGATCCAGGACCACTGTCACATTGCCCTCTCCTGTGAGCCCAGCAGGCAGAGGCAGGCAGCCTGGCTCTGGGGCCATCAGTGTGGCTGCCTGCCAGAGCTGGGTGCTGAGGTTGTGGTCCCAGCTTGGTGCAGAGCCCAGGAAGGAGGTCAAGGGTGGCCAAGGCAGGCTGCACTGTACTGTGCACATGAGGGTCTTTGTGTCATTGGTACCAGGGGTTGATCTTGTCCTTGAGGGGGTGCTCAGGTCAGCCTTCCATCTCTAACCACATTCTTGGGCCATGGCTCCCAGAGGCTCAGGGCTGGAGCCTCAGGACTGTCCCTGTGTGGCTGATGCCACACCTGTCCGAGAGGGAAAGGAGGCTGTGTCCTCACTGGGGTCGTGGCCAGAATCCGAGGATGCAGTGCTAACCTGAGGATGGAAGCAGTTTCTCCATGACATGCCCATGGAGGATGGGGATGACGGTCCTGGAAAGTTGACTTCAGGCTGCACTGGGGTTCACTGGTTTTGGGTAGGACTGCAGGGACGTTTTTGTTCCTATTGACTTGCTGTGAGGGCTCAGTCTAGGCTTGGGCAGGAGGTAAAAGCAGGGTTATCAGACAGCGCACTGGGCTTTTGGGAAAGCTGCAGTCACAGCGCCCTACCAGTGAGCCTGCCTGCATCCCCCTACCTGGGCTGGAAGGTGAAGAGGCAGGAAGTCAAGCTGAGCAAAGCTCTGGCCCTAGAGCCTGCCACCCTCCCAGCTCTCCCTGTCCTCTCCCAGCCCTAGGGCTCCCCCTCCACTGCTCTCTATGAGCTAGAAAACTATCCTTGGCCAGCCAAGGGGCTGCCACCCCTGATCTCTGGGAGGCCTGTGCATAGGGTTACAAATAGGGTTGTAAAGGGCTGAGGAGGTGGCAGGAATTGGTGCTGCCCACCAGGAAGTCCAGACAGGAGATCCTCCGTCTTCCCTTCCTGTCACTAGAGAGGTGGTGCCTCCTGCCATGGCGTCCTGTCCTCCTGCGCTCTCCTCACACCTTCCTAAGGCCAGCCCCATTGACTGTACCAAGGTCCAAGGTTCTCCAGTCTCACTGCCCTGGGCCATCTCTCCACTTTTCTGAGGACCTTTCTGACATGGGTGATGTCCTTCCATTCAATAGGCCTGGCCTAGGTATGGGCTTCTCCACAGAGGCCCATGGTGTGGGTCTCCCGGGATGCAAAGGAGGCCTTGATTCCTGAGGACATTTGAGCCCCAGCTCCTCACTGGAGCCAATCACTAGGCCCTAATTCAGGTAATGCCCAGGTGCTTTGCTGCTGGACCAGCTGGGCTTGAGGCAGACAGGGATAACACCGGGGTCCTGGCAGCCAGGAATAGCACAGAGACACCCACACCCACACACAGACACAGAAACTGACTGACACACACACACACACACACACACACACCCACACACCCACCCACCACTGCTCTGATGTTCTTTGTCCTGCACAGCGAAATGCGACAATGCCTGAACAGGCAGTTTGCATGTCTGGGATGTCTGGGTGGGCACTTTACTGTGCTGTCCTCTCTCGGGGGTCTATTGTGTGTCCACCTAGTGCTCTTCTTGCCACTTCTGCTGTCTCCACTTGACGCC